TGTACAAAAAAAAAAGGAAAGAAAGACGATTCAAGGAGCAATCTGGTGAAATGAACTAGCATCTTTTGACAAACACCAGAAATTCTGCTCGGCATACGTAGCTCCATCTTAACACACTAAGGTTCCACCTTCTTTCCCTCTAACATCTGTTGGACTCTTTAGAAGCTGCTATTTAACCATTAAAGCTTGCACTCAAGTCAGGATTTCAAGAACCACACTGATGGATTTCAGCCAATATTCATGAAGTAATTTACAAAATCAAAATATGTTTCTGAGCTTAATGTCTTGGAATCTCTTGGAATGATTCATGATGGATGTTTGCGTACAATGCCGACAAACCTTTCATGTAAAGCGATAGATCCAACTCCAAATCCAAACCCTGGTACTGTAGAATCTTTCAGTCTCAACTTCCTCGTCTTGTGATAGGAAACAAAAGGAAACACTCCCAATGTCATGCAAAGACAATTAAAAAGGGCGTGTTTTGATTTGGGAATTTCCTGTCACAAGTCAATGCCAGATGTAGTTCTGAAAGTTGGTGAACATGTGAGTCAAAAGCTCAGGCCTGCTCTCAATGCCTCATTTGTAATGTTACCTCTGCTTTACATAGAACTGAAATCATTGAGCATAGTATATCCCCTTTAACCCATCAACAGAAGTTTTAAATATTCTTTTCTGTCTGTCTTCTTCTGACCAACCAGCAGGATGGGATTGTTGTGAGTGCCTTCCATTCCAACCCAGTCTCCACAAAAAAATCCTGTTCTTATACACCTCAACTGTGTCAATCTTTAGCTTTAGCAGCTTTACTGTCACTACTTTTCAGCCAACTGATCATAAGTCAGGGAGCCACAGAGAACGGAGGAGAAGCTTGAAACATGTGTGATAGGGTCATATTTGAATCCAAATCATGATATGTTTTCAAACTATAACAAAGCAGATTTAATATCTATCTTGATCAAAGCTGTAAAAGTGTCTAGCGAAGCCTGTTGTTATCCTAAAGCTAACCAAGTAGTTTTGATGTCCAAGAGCAAAAACCAAATGTAAACAACAAGTGAAGACAAAACCTTAGTCGGAGACTGATGGTCTCTCATCCATCACATACATGAACGCTGGTCTTCTGGCTCACAATCCAAACCCTCCTCCTGCCTTCCACCTCACGTTTAGCGCCTCTTTTAGTCTTTGAAATAAATTTGTCATCTGTGACGTCTCATGTAAAGACATGAGCTGTCACGGATGACAAATTTATTTCAAAATGAAATAACGTTCCCCTCAAAACATATTTGATAATGCACTTAAAATGCATAGGGGTGTCAGTCTGTGGAGACAGCGTTGGATATTTGTCAGGTCTGGATAGGCTTGGTGAGGACACGGTCATGTTTTTGTGAAATGAATCCCCTTTGAACAGAAATCTAGTCACATGCTTCACAGTTACACAAGTAAAAGTCTTAGTGAGCTTCAAATGAAGCGTTTGTTGGATCACCCCTCTTTCAGGCGTTGCAACAGTTTGAAATTGACAAATTCACGCTGCTCAAAACCAACAAAACTCAGTTGTAGAGAAAGCTGCCGATGAGTATTTCAGGTTCCACCATCCTCGTGTTCACTGGTTCTACAGCAGACTTGGTCTGCTGGTGGCTGAGGAAGGCTCCTGTTTAATCATCAAATTATTTATGTTTCAAGATTCTTTGAGCCTGATTAGTAAATAATTAACATGTCATTCATTAGGAGCAAAGGAAATTGATGTCTTTTGGTCAACTACTTCAGTCTGATTTTCATTTTTGCTGCACACCTACACTAATTAAAGCTCATTCCGGCAAAAACTAGGTAATTATTTTTAATGGAGTATCGCCTAATTGCTTCCCGAATGTAATTTACTTTGCGAGCTGCCAGGGGAAACGCATGCTTAAAGAAAAAGAAACTCAGAAACGTTTCAACCTTACAGCTTGTTGGATTGCTTTTAGTTCTTCTGTATTTGCTGACAGTGAAGGTCAGGGAGGCAGCAGGCAGAGTTTAGGACTGTGATCCCACGGGAGCTTGTAATCCCCACAGCCAGTAAGGCAATATTACATGACCAGAATTGATCGGTAACACTTGGATACCCTCGCTTTGTCACTGTCACTTTGTGAAATGAGGTGGTGAAACGTTACCGACTGTTCCTGTTAGCCAGAATAAATGGCAGCGTGTTTTTTTTGTAACTAACTGTATCCAACTATAGAAAGCCTCTAAAAGAATGCAAATGTACAATGTGAAGAACAACACAAAAAACATTTTCAGTCACTATCATGTGATAAAAAAAGACACACGTTTTGTCTAAAATCAAACCCTGAATTCAGATGATTCATTACATCTATTTTAATCTAAGTGTCAAAATATAATAACTTGCACACCCTTGCCATCTCTTTTGGAAAACTAATTCTGTACATTCTGCCCTTGGAAAACTCAATTTTGCAAGAAACAATGGCAGCTGAGAGACATTCTGCACACCGGACAGATGCAGCACTTGGTCGAAGCTAAGCAGAGCAGCTATATACAGTACACTACACTTTTAATTAACACTGTCATCGTAAGAAAATAAGCAAGAACAGATCACACAGCAAAAAACGTCCATATCCTGCTGCTGCACACAGAATAGTCAATATTTAATGTCTTCCTCTCAGTCTCCTTTGGGGAACTCTACAGTTAACCCGTAGGCAAACGCTGAATCTGTAAACAGCAGGAATTCATTTCCAAGAATTGGAATCTTGTCTTTTACGCCCCCTTTTTTTTTTTTTAATTTCTCTCTGTTTCTTTTCATTTTGAGCCACATGAATCAAAAGCATGTTGGTGGAATATCAAGATCCAAAGTGGAAAGAAAGCGCACACAACCACAGGCAAACCTCAGGATCATTGCCAAATGTGTTCAAATGCAAAAGCTTTAAATTATCTACAAATTCACATTTGTTGATTTTATTTTCCTTTCCTTTCCTTTCCTTTCCTTTCC